CTTGAACTACTTCAGTTGGTGTGCAATGAATCTAAAATATAAGAAAGTTTAATGTTTATCAGTACATTCCAGAAAATAATGAACTTTATCACAATATGCTAATTTTTTGAGAAGGACCTGTACATCCATATTTGTTTCTCATTGTCATTGCATTCGTTGATTTTCTCACTTTGTCTCTTACACAAATTAGCACTTCATTCATTTACTTTTCCTTCCCTTTGATTTATTCCTAATGTTCTGAATTTGTAAATGCATTCTGAGTTTGTCAAGCATATCTTATTTTCTGCCTGCCAGCTACTGAAGAGCGAAGTGAGACGTTTAGAGCGAAACCAGGAGAGGGAGAAGAGTGTAGCCAATCTGGAGTACCTGAAGAATGTCCTTCTGCAGTTCATCTTCCTGCGCTCTGGCAGCGAGAGGCAGGCGCTGCTGCCCGTCATTCACACCATGTTGCAGCTCAGTCCAGAGGAGAAGAGCAAACTGGCTGCTATTGCACAAGGTGCGTGATAAGTGAATAAATGAACCGGAAGTGGCAGAGTTTAGGATGTAGTGAAGTGATATAAACACACGGTATCAAAGAGCACATGAACTCAAACTACAACATAGTTTGATTATTGATTTTACTACTTAAAATTGATTCAGTTTCCTTTTTCAATCAGTCTAAAGAAATTTAAGTTGTTCTGAGGTTCTGTTTTATTATTATTATTTTTTTATTTGTTTTGTCTTGACTTTCTGCAGGTGAGGAGGAGGCAAGCGGGTCTCGAGGCTCTGGCTGGACTTCCTACCTCCACAGCTGGTCTGGGATCAGATAGACTTGGTGACCAATCATATCGTCATAAAACACTGGGAACACATTGAAGTGACATTACTGAACTATTTTATTGAAAATAACTGAACTGGGGCATTAATAATATGAATGGGACAGAGTAAACAGGACCAGAGAATGTATCGGAGGAGAATGGGTTTGTTGTAGAAAGACTGGAAACTAAAACATTTGAATTAGAAACGCAAACGATGGATGTGTTTACTGTGATAAATCTCTGTCTTTGTTAGACTCATTAACTTGAAGAAATTAATATAACATGTACTAGACACTCCTAAAGTAGAGGTTATACGGTATTATAGGGTAACAGAAATAAAATAATCATTTATGGAATTATATTTCCAGATTTTTACAAGAATTGTTTCAAGGCTGGATACAAAATGTTCCCATGGATTTGCATGAAAATAGTTTTTGTCAGACATTTGACTCCTTAGCAGAAAGAAGTGATCATTTGGGTTCAGTGTTTTGCGGTACATTTTACTGAAGTTATTTTGTTTCTAAGCAGCTTTAGAGACGGTTGAATGTTTCTCTACTTTGGAGGCAGCGATGTTGCCTTTCATTTGTGGCAGTATGAATCCATTTGATACAAACAATCATCTCCAAGTTTAATTTTTTTACTAGCGTTTGTCTGGAAGGTTTTAAAAAAATGCCTTAATGCCACATACGGTGGTAAGCAATTGTTACATGATGACACCATAAAATAATGGTCTTAAGTCTCTTTTTTTTTTTTTCGAATTCGTCAGGAATCTCAAAACAACTTTATTTAGATTTCCAATCAACATAACACACAGATTATGTTTTTACTTCTCTTGGCTTGGTTTAGTTCTCTAATGTATCATATTTTCTGCTTGTTTTGATCTGTTGTACCTGAACGTGGTGCATAGTTTGTGACATTAATATCAATATTTTTATCGGATGAAGAAAGATGCCAATGACAGCGAGCACATCTGCCCTGCTGAGGTCTCTGAGTAACACCACCTGTCACATCTTTGGATGACTTTGTTTTCATTGTTTTTGCGTGAGGAATGAAAAAAGTCTCTGCCTCCTTTCTGTAAACTTGAAGCCTTTTTTCCTCTCTGCCAGTCTTGAAGAAACTTTGCTTTTTGATTTTCTCATTCCAGGGGCAACTTTTTGTGTTCCATCCACCACAAGTGAATGTACTTTTATCTAAGCTTTTTTTTTTTATATATTTATGTCTGCTGTTAGAAGCTGTGAGAGATTATAATAACTGTAAAATCTGATGTGTGTAAGAATGATTAGATTTAAGGTCCTGCCACGGTTCTCTGTATGTAAAGCAGGAATTACAGGAAGTGACTAAAAACTGAATTAAAATGTAAAAGGTTGGGAATGATTACAGTACTTATGGTAAGTTGTGCTTATGTTTGAGTCAGATTTTTAAAACCCTAAACAGATTTTAAAATGTGCCAAGTCAGCACTCCAAATAGGGCTGGGAATTTTTATGTTAATTCACCAAAACGCCTTTGATCTCCATTATATTTCTAGATTGTACTACTTTTGATGTATAATTTGCAGAAATAAAATACACAAAATCCTTTTTGATAGGATAATGAAGGTGTTTAGATGCTTATGCACTCTAAAAATATCTCCAAGTCCCCAAAACACTTTAAGAATGCAGGTTTTGCAGATGTGTAGTATAAAAAACTACTCTGGATACTCAAATACAATAAAGTATGTACTACTGTTCCATATAAAAGGATATAAAAAGCTGCCTTTTAAGGAAATAAATGTGGTTCTGGCTTCATGACGTATTCAAGGGAGGAAACAAATAATAGCTACTGTATGCTGCTGGAAGTGAAGGTAAACATGCCAACATTTCTCCAAGAAGCAGCAGCATCATTAACTCCTTCCTGTTGCTGCTTTATACTTTTCTGCTTTGATTTATTTTTTCTAAAAAAGGTTTTATGTGTTTGTGGAGTTTATTTTAATAGTTATTGCTTCGGATTGTATCTTTCACTCGCCGTGGTGAAATTCTGTGATTTTCTGTGGGTCAAAAAAAAAAAAAAGTGAAAAAGTCAGATTTTCCATCCACTCATTAGGGAAGCAGCTGATTTAGGAGAGGATGAGCAAACTGCTGTGGGTGTCTAAAAACAGACGTGTAGATTCACACAGAGACTTTGGAGGAAATTCACAGGGTGGGTCTTCTTATTTCCTGTAAATAAAGAAGTATAAAACGGATTCAACATGAGACTGAGCTGGAAGCTGAAACAGACACGCAAAAATACCGTGCCACTATTGTTATAACACTAGTTGTGTTATCTCAAATTCAAGCTTTAAGTACATTTTGCAGCTCTCAACAAATTTATTTAGTGGGAATACATTGTTTTTGCTTATTTTAGCTCTGTTTCAACCTGAAATCTGTCACTAGTTTGTGCACGCTGCTTTGTTTTACTTTGAAGGTCTGTACCGGAARTTGTAGTCTTCATTTACTTCCCTTGACGGAGCGAGAGGCGAGGCTGATTCGCCATTCTGCAGCGAACAGTCATCAAAGTTACTGTACATTCAGGACTGTACAACATCTGGACATCTGCTTCAGGGGTCGTAAAATACACATCTGGTCCGAGAGAGGACGGGGCGATGCTCGGAATTACCGAAATGACAAACGGGTAGGTGATAAATTTTACCCTTCGAGACAAATTTGCCTGAAAAGTTAAAAAGTTTACAGGAAAAAAAAAAACGCTAAGCCGTCTGTGTTATCATATCTTTGTAAAACCTAGGTTTAGTTGGCTCAAAACCATTTTAAACTATTTCTGAACTTTTTGTACGCTTAACTTCACGTGAAAATTGTTTATCACGGAATGTGTCAGAAATAAACACTACAAATTAYAGCTTTAATTTGAACTTGAGCGCCCCCTGCCGTCGTATTGCGTGAACATCTTTTGTGTACAGATTTATTTATTTTTGTAAACACAAACAATAATTTTAATCACGTAGCACTTTCCAAACATTCAAATTGTTATTTAAAACAYTAACAAACTAAGTGAAATATTAATCAAGGTAGTCAAATATAAAAAATATAAGTGGTTTCAAGGCTACACAAATGACAAGAAACCATATAATTAAAACTAAAAAGAAATAAAATTGAAGAATTGAAATATGCCATATGACATTCCCCATTAAAAGTCAGAAAAAAGAGAAAAATATATATTTTATGTGAGAATGCAGTGTGAGTGGTGACTGATTTTGCTGAAGAAGCTGAAAAAAGCAGGACACTAGCAAAAGAGTAAATAAGCTAAACTAAAGCTAAAGGTAGAAAAGCTAATTAAAGCTAAAATAAGAATTTTGCTAGCTAAAAGTCAGATGCTAAAAATGAGTGAAATGTTGCAAAACACTAGCTTTAAAATAAAAAAAAACATAAAAAGGATGTACCATCTTTAAAAATAACGTATTCATGTCCTCCCTGCTGAGGAATGTCCTCATAAAGTCACAGTAATCCATGCTTTCCAAACCACTTCCTGTTGTCTCATTCTCCAGGGACGGCTCCTCTAAATAATATTTTCTCTTTCAGCMACAAGAATGTTAGTGTTCATCATAACCTGAAGCTTTCATCAATCACACCCAAGCTGTACAAGTAAAAGCTTTTTCTAAACAAAGACCATTGTCTCACATCTGATCTGATCCTGCACTGGTCTGCGTCGTTGATACAAACAGAGCTTAGACGGATGTCTCAGCCTCCAGTGCAGACTTGTCCATGTTTGGAAGTTTGGAGATGAAGGATTAAAACTGACTGCAGGCAGGAAGTGTTACAGGAGCTGTGACTGCAGCACATTGTTGGTCTGTTACAACGCCTGCAATTTATTTACTGCAGGGTCTATTGATGGACTGAAAAACGAGTCTAAAACCCGCTGATCTGCGAGCAGCCTGGAAAATAAAGAGTTAACAGGTCTGACGAATTAGCTGGTGCAAAACTAATCTCATGCTGGACAGGAAGCCAGCGTGATCATGCCTTGATAGGAGAACTGTGTTTATGTGACCGAGTCTGGAGAAGTTAATTCAACCTCAGCTGAGAAATAACCTCCTAATTAAAATAATTTAGACTCTTGGTCCTTTTCTCAATCATTTGTGAACAAAATGCCCGAACCTTTACGCCTGATGGAGAGTTTTCTCTTCACCTAAAAGAAGTTTTTATTTTATTTTAATTAGAGAAGCTGGCTTTTCAGATTAAAACATGCTGGTCTTGTTTAAAAATACCTTTAAATAAATAAAATCCTTATTTTATATCATTAATACATATTACATACATACCAGTGGCAGACAGCTGAGAAGACAGTGCAGAAGAACCATTCACAAGTTTGTGAAAGGTCCTGCCCTTCCTCACACAGCAGTCTTCCTCCTCTCTGACACTACCCCTCCAAGAC